GTTCGGGTCGCTGGGAAGCGAAGTGCAAACATTGCGCAACGAAAACTCGTCGCTTCGCCAGACACATGGTGGAACGCGTTAAGGGTGGCCTGTTACCCGAGATGAAGATGCTGCGAGCGAAGCGAGGGCGTCGGCGACACCTGAAGTAGTTGAAGAAGTCCACAGCGAGCTGCGGGCAGCCATTAAAATCAAACCTCTGATGCCACCGCCGTTCAACCCGGCCGACAGGATGACTACAGTGAGCGGTAGGCCATTCACCATGGAAATCTTCTTCACAGCAGCAAGTATTAATGGCAGCGCGTCACATGTCAACTTGGTTGTGTCGCTGCTGAGGGGACCGGCACTCGACAGGTGGCGCATGCATCTAAACGAGGGAGGAGCCTTGGCATGGAATCAACAGACGGTAGATGGGGAGCACGGCTCATCAACGACTCAAGCATAACCGATCGTTGGGTCGGCCACGATCCGCACGTGGAAAGCGTAGGGCGAAGCATTGTAGAGCCGATTCGAGCACATATCCATGCGCAAAAACACTCGCACAAGGCTTTGGATGTGGAGACAGTTGGGCTCTGTCCAAGAATACACAGCTTCGTTCTTGGTGCTATGAAATCAAATTGGAGGGCTTAGCAAAGACGAGAAGATCGATCGCTACGTGGGTGGTCTCAAGCGAGAGATTCAGCAAGAGACCGTCCTACGAGCCCTGACAATATTCAACGAAAGTGTCTGAATCGTGGATGTGCTGGACGCAAGGTGTGGACTTGTGAGGGCAGGTTTCCGGGAGGGAAATCGCTTTCGAGGCCAGCCCCAACACACATCATTCAACGGCGTGGACGTATTTTTAGCCCGGGTATTTTCTGGATGTTGTTTCCAGTGCAACCAGCCGGGCCACATGGTGAGGGACTGCCCGCGGTTGAAGAACTTAGCTAACGACGGGAAGCAATCGGGAAATGGAGATCGTCAGTAGCCGATGGGCCACCTACTGACTTGACTGCATCATCCAAACACCAACACCCCCACCAGGCTATAGTGCCGATTTGGGCTATCGACCATTCATGGCTGAATAGGGGGGTGAACCGGTTGATCGCCCTGTACTGGTTGAAGCAAGAGTTGGCGACACCCGCATTAAAATATTTTGTTGATGGTGGGGCAAGCCACAGTTTGATGGAAACTTCGACAGCAGCTGAAACGCTGCATGCCCAAAATCGACGCGAGGTTGGTTGACGGCACCCCATTGGCGATTCGGGAGCGCGCGCCTCACGTGCGAGTCACCTGTGGCGAAAACATCAGTTTCACGACGAAGATGATGGCAACAACTTTGGACGGGTGCGACATGCTGCTGGGACGCGATTGGCGACGCGAATAAAGTGGAGTGGCGAGTGGCGAAGGCTACCCAAATGGAGCAGTCAAGACTCGACAACATCGACAGTCAGCACAGTGACTATAAAGCGCGCGATGATTTGAGGAGCGCAACTGTATGCCGTCCGATGGATCGCATCAACGGTTGTCGACACGCCGACCGACATCGACAAACTCTGCGCAGCTGTCTCTGATGATTTGGCAACAGTGATTCGGAAACACGTCGATATTTTTCCAGACAACCTACTGGCGGGCTTGCCACCTCAACGGCCGTATGACCACAAGATCGAGCTCGAACCCGGTGCGCAGCCTACTATTCGGACCCAATGGCGGCTGACTCAGCCCGAGTTAGATGAACTTCGCCGCCAGCTGGACTACCTGCTCGAGAAAGGTTTTGTTCGCCCCAGCACATCACCATTTGCAGATATGCATATGTGTATCGACTTACCATCAAGTCTCGCTACCCCATCCCACGTGCCGACGACCTCATCGATCAACTTCGCAGGGCCAGATTTTTCTCGAAGATTGACCTGCGAGACGGTTACCACCAACTTCGCGTGCACGGAGCTGACTGCTAGAAAACGGCGTTTCGAACCCGGTACGGGAGTTACGAGTACACGGTCATGCCATTCGACTTAACAATCGCGCCTTCGACATTCCAGTTGACCATGAACGAGATTTTTCGGCCGCTACTGGATAAGTGCGTCATCGTGTACCTCAACGCCATGTGCGTCATCCTCGTCTACAGCACAACCCGGGAGCAGCATTTAAAGGATTTGGAAGCAGTTTTCTCTCTCCTGTAGCAGAATTGACTCATCACCAAGGGCTCTAAGTGCGAGTTTATGAAACACAAATTGGAGTTCTTGGGTCACGTGATTTCCATCAACAGTGTTAAAATCGACCCAAAGAAAATCGCGACAATCCAAGACTGGAAGCCGCTGGCTAATCTACGCGAACTTAAGAGTTTTTTAGGGTTTGTTAATTACGTCCTCCGTTTCATTCCGAACATGGCGGGGGTAACTTCCCCTCTCACGGATCTCTTGAAGAAGGGGCACGTTTTTTTAGTGGGGGGGAGAGCAGCAGGCTGCGTTCAAAATCTCAAACTTTTCCTGACTACACCGTCGGTTCTTCGGATTGCAGATCCTCACCGTCCATTCGAGCTCATCACTAACGCTAGCAATCTGGCCATTGGCACGGTCCTATTACAAGACTTCGGTGAAGGCCTACAACCGATCGCCTACGAGTCACGAAAGCTGAACCCGGCAGAGCGAAATTATCATGTCCACGACAATAAGTTACTCGCCATCGTTCACGCCTTCAAAGCCTGGCACTGCTATCTGACGGGCGCTTACATAACAGTCCGAACAGACCACAAGTCGCTACAGTTCATCCGCGCCCAACCGATACTGAATCCCGGACAAATTCGATGGCTCGACTACCTCAAGTCCAATTTCCACTACAGAGTCACCTACAAATGAGGGGTCAGCAACATCGCCGACGCACTAACTCGCCCCTCGGTCCACACCGTCGCAGTCCTAATTACCCAAGCTAGCCCGCTGCTAACTGGCCTATTCACCAACGAATACAGTACTGACCCATTCTTCACCATTAATAGTCATCCCGAACTGACGGAAAAGCAAGGGGCCTATTACCTAAAATCGGTACCAATCGGATTTGGGTTCCCGCCTACCATACCCTACGGGAATTACTGATTCAGGAGACCCATGACTCGAATTTCTCGGGTCACCACGGCATCGATAAAACCTTAGTTACTATGCCGTAATTATTACTGGCCCGACCTATCGACAGACGTGCAGCAGTACGTCACCTCATGCGCCACGTTTCAACGCATGAAGTCTTCCCGACTTGGACTTGCTGGATTGCTGCAACCGCTCGAGCCACCTAGCTGACCCTGGCAACAAGTGACGATGGACTTTGTTACTCGCATGCCAGCTGGTTCAAGCGGTAGCGATGCGATCCTCGTCGTCGTTGACCGGCTGACCAAAATGGCACATTTCGCCGCCTTCAAGACGACAATTACTGCTGAGCAGACAACGAAATCGTTCCTCATGAACATCGTACAGCTACACGACATCCTATCGGCAATCATCAGCGATCGTAACCCACGGTTTACGTCCAACTTTTGCACAAAACCTAGCAACAATACGGCATACGTCTGCACCTGTCTACGGCGTACCACCCGCAATCGGATGGTCAGACTGAGCACACCAACCAGACGATGAAGCACCTGATTCGCACGACATGCACTGACCTGGCCCAATGGGAAGACGCCCTTCCCGTGATCGAGTTTGTGTACAACAATGCCCCATCGGCCACGACTACTCAGTCTCCGTTCTTCCTTAATTATGGGATGGATCGGACAACCCCTCTATCGCCACCGATAGAAAATCCGGCACCAAGGTCTCAGCTGTTCGTCGAAAATCTCCAACAGTCTTAGCAAAAAGCCGCTGATGCCATCCTAAAAGCCAACCAGAGGGCCAAGCAGCAAGCTGACCGACGACGCCGAGACTTAACACTTGTCCCTGGGCAATTGGTCCTGCTCGATACCATGAATTTGGGAATGCCCCTTCCAAATAAATTACGACTAAGATTTTGTGGGCCCTTGCGCATCATCCGTATGGTGACACCAATCATCGCCCAGCTGCAACTGCCGACCGATTGGCGAATTCATGATTCGTTCCACGTCAGTCTCCCGCGACCGTTCGTCCCGAGTGCGACCAATCTCGACCGTCAATGCATTAATCATATGGTCAACCCAGTACCCGAGCTAAGAATCGAGCTGTCCAAGATTCTCGCTCATCGCGTACGGGGACATCGAGATACAGCAGCCGTCGATTTCCTTGTACGATGGGTCGATCGCACAAGTGACAACGACCTCTGGGTTCCCGCAGCTACGCTCGGTGAAAACAGAGTTGTCAGGGACTATTTACACCGACGACGTGACCCGGATGTGGGTAGTCTCATTCCGGAATGGGGGGTGGTGTAAGGAATTTTTTTTTTCCTTACTGGGCTCGACTACAGCGCGTACGCCTTCGACTCTCGGAAGTCCTGGCTTGGCCAACTTCTTCGGTCTCGAACCACTTCGCAAACCCAAACCTAGACGCGCGGCACTTCCGTAGCTTTCGCCAACCGGACCGCCCCAACCTGTTCGCGTGGTTCTAGGCTAGCTCTGTTAGTGCCTATAAATGCCTAGGCCCTCATTTGTATCGACACTCTTGAATCACAACTCCTTTATTAGACTACCTGTTATTAATCTGATTAATTCATAACATCCACCCTGACCTGTTAAGTGAAGTCCAATCACAGCTGCTGCCCTGGCAGCTTCCCGCCAACTCGGTGTCAGATTCAAAACCCAGATTTCGCCAGACCCTCGGAGAAGTCAGATTCCTCGCTGTAGCCCGTCGTGTTCCCAGGAAGTGGACCGGGGGTCAGCCTTCAAAGGAGTTGAGATACGATTTCTGCGTGAAACTGACACCATCTAAACTCAAGATTTCACATCCAGTTGCAGTTACCTTTTGGCCAACTAGCAACTATTTGAGTGCTACAAATACGGCCTAAACATTAAGTCGTCCTCCAAGTTTTTCGGGCTTTGTGCCTAGGTTTTCTGCCTGCGCTGCCAGTCCCATCACTCCACTATATTGCAAGTCATTCATTTATCGACGTCTCGTCACTGCGGTCGAACCTCTCGGCCCACGTTTTCACAGGGATTCCTTCGTTCCTTCCCAGATAAGGGAACCTGTGCTGGACTCTAGTCCGGTTGGCAAGAAGCGTCGTGCAGCACCCTGGGTCCGCCTCGATCCACCTGGCAGAACCCTTTTCTCTATCAGTCGTACTGACAGTACCGTTGAAATTCCTCATTTCGACGCGTAGGTGGAATCTCTTAAAGCGACGCGTGTCGTATAACGAGGAGGATAAGGAGTAGCGTATAAGGAGGATATCATGGCGGCCGATGCGGTGGCGGAGGCGGTGAGCGGGCTGTGGCCGCTGAACGAGGGCTCGCGACAGAAGATCGTCGATCGCATCAGCACGAACCTCGTCAGCATATGCTTCTCCAAGGACAAGGTGCGTGCGACTGGTTGTGCGACTGGGTGTGCGATGTGTGCGACGAGTTGTGATGAGGCATGCATGTGACGAGGCATTGCGACTATGCAATCAGGTGTGCGAAACCGTGCGACAACATGTGAAGTCGGCCAGATCAGCACGAACCTCATTAGCGTATGCCTCTCCAAGGACAAGGCGCGTTATTAACTCAGGGTGTTTTTCTTTTAATTCTCAAGAACACCGTACAGCATTTTATCATCGGAAGCATTTTCAGGAAGGATCTAACTCGCATTCTGCCAATTATTCATGACATTTGCGATTATCCATGATATCGAGTCACACTTCCGAACCGATGAAAAGGTCTTAGGGTCGGTGGCCTTAGGGCCTTTCGAATCACGGGGTATAGCTCCCTAGACTAAGGTCGAGATCGACGCGGAGCCTGCTATGAAAGACCCCGCATGTCGCTGGACTTAATTCAAACCTGCGTGACACCCGCCTACCAATCGACTGCGACCCCCGTCACTTTTCCCCCACATCCTGTACCCAATTTGTCTTGCTTTCGCAGCGGCAAGAACGTTCCCCCCTCTCCCCGCCGCCGCCCTGCTTCCCCCATCCTCCCCGCCTCTCGAACGCGCAGTCCCAGCGCGCGGACGGCAGCGTGGCTCGCAGCCTGGCAGTGCAGATCGAGTCCGGAGCCTCCCTTCCCCCTCCTCTCCCCCGCGTCCACGTCCCCCGCTTCCCTCTCCATACCGCCCTCCATACCACCCTCCATACCACCCTCCATACCACCCTCCATACCACCCTCCATACCACCCCCCTTCCTTCTTGCTATCCCAGTCCAGCGCGCGCGTGACGGTGCGGCGCGGGCTCTAGCCATCGAGATCAAATCGAAGCGAGATCCGTCTTTGGCAGCGACGCAGGAGCGAGCCAGGGAGGGCGGGGGGGCGGCGGTGAAGGGCATTGCCCAGGGTGCACTTCTCGCCAGGCGCGGGAGGTGACTTTTGAGTCGACTCAAAAGTCAGCGCGTGGGGACATTGTCCAGGGTGTACTTTCGCCAGGCGCGCGAGTCACCCCCTCCACCTTGGTTGCTCCCACCGCCCCTCTCCCCCTCAATCCCCCGTGTGGCATGTCGCAGTCCCAGCGCGTAGACGACAGTGTGGCGCGCAGCCTGGCAGTGAGGATCGAGTCGGAGGCCTTCGCGGCGACGCAGGAGCGCGCTAAGGAAGGGGGTGGAGCGGCGGTGAAGGGCAGCGCGCTGGTGATGATCTACGCGCGGCACGCGAGCGAGCTGATGGTGGACGCGTTCAAGAAGGAGAGGAGCAAGGGGGGGGCTGGGGAGGAGGCGGTTACTGAGGTAGGTGTGGGGGTTTGGCCTTTGAGTTGCTGGACTCAGGGTTCGGTTGTGGTCGTGACGATCTGCAGGTGGCGTGCGAGCGAGCTGATGGAGGACGCGTTCACGGGGAGAGGCAAGGGGGGGGGCTGGGGAGGAGGCGGTTACTGAGGTAGGTGTGGGGGATGGAAGTAGGAGTGGGGTCGGGCGGGGTCACTTGTGATGATTAATGGTGATGATCCACGCGCAGCACGCCTGCGAGCTGAGGGCAAAGGGGAGGCGATGTCTGAGGTAGGTGTGGGGCTTTAAAGAGGGATTGGGGCACGCAGGCGAGCTGATGGTGGACGCGTTTTAGAAGGAGAGGAGCCAGGGGCGGGGGTGAAGGCGAGGCGGTTGCAGAGGTGAGCGCTTTGGGGTAGGTTGGGGGGTTGGGATGAGGGTGAGGGTGAGGTTTGGGGTGAGGTTTGGGGTGAGGTTTGGGGTGAGGTTTGGGGTGAGGTTTGGTTGTGGTGGTGATCTACGCGTGGCACGCGAGCGAGCTGATGGTGTAGGCGTTTGAGAAGGAAAGAAGCAAGCGGGTGGGCGAAGAGGAGGTGAATAAGGCAGGGCGTGTTTGAATTGGCAGTAAGGGTTTGGGTGCTGGTGATGATCTATGCGTGGCGTGCAAGTGAGCTGGTGGTGCACGCGTTGAAAAAGGAGAGGCACAAGGGCGAGGGAAGGCGTGCTGAAGGGGAGGCGGTCTCGGAGGTGGGTGTGGGGGTTTTGAATAGTATTGGGATTGGGGAACCATGGCGAGGGTCTACATCAGGGGGCGAGTGAGCCGATGGTGGATTTTTCTCCCAGAAAGGGAGCCAAGAGGCTCTATGGTCCAAGCAAGGAGCAAAGGAATGGCCGGGGAGGGAGGACAGCCTAGTGGGAATAATGGCCGGGCTAGGTGGGAGGATCGGTTGAGGTGGCGTGAGCCATTGCCTCTGAACCATGAAAGGGAAGGCTGAGGAGCCAGCCGAGGTTGGTGTGGGGGTTGGGGTGGGAGTGAGGCTTGGTGGTGGGGATGATGATATAGGGGCAGTGAAATGGGTTAGGATTGGGGTTTGTGGTTTGGCGCTTGCACTCTCGGGTAAGAAGTGGAGTTTGTGCTCGTGGGTTCTCCTGGCCTTCTGATGAGTCATGATCGTTTAGTGCCTTGTCAGCTTTTATGAGTACTGCTCTCGCTGTCGGCGTGCTTTGTTAACTTCCAACAAGTCCGTTCCTGCTGGTGGTTTCTTAACATTCAGTACACGCTGCCCCTGTTGCTGTCATCGCAGTTTGACATCTCCGGAGGCAAGCGGGAAGCGCTGAGCAAGGAAGATGCGGAGAAGCTTCTCGCGCCCTTGCTAAGACCCAACAACGGCTGCAAGAAGGTATTTCTTTCCCCCGCCCTTCCTGCCGCTCTCGCCCTTCTCGCCCTTTCCCGCCCGTCCCGCCCTTCTCGCCCTTCTCGTCCTTCCCTCATCCTTTCGTAATGCAGTGCAATCCCTTCTCGCCCGTTTTGCCCTGCAATCCCTTCGCTCGTCTCTTCTTCACGCAATGCAGAAAGCACCGCATTCGGTTGTCCCGTCTCTTGCCTCCCCGTCTTACAACGGGCCTGATAGCCACACTTCCCAGCTGCGCTCTTACCATGTTACCCTGTTTCACTACCACAGCCCTGTTACCCGGTTACCTTCTGTTACAGGCAAAGCTTAGCCGCTTGGCCTTTACTCTGCAGGCGTCTGTTCAGTCCGCTGCAGGAAACACATTAGGCACCCTGTGTCCGCATTGCACTCTTGCCAATGTCACTGGGCTACCCTTTCATACCACCTGTTACCGCCGGACCCCCCTCTGTTACCCTGTGTTACCTTGTTACCCTCTGTTACAGGTGAAACTGAGCAGCAAGGCTTTTACGCTGGAGGCTGCTGAGGTGGCGCACCAGGCGCTGACCAATGCGAGGGACACGCTGACTCATGCTGACCTCAGCGACATCATTGCCAGCCTTCCTGTGGGTTGGGAGAGAGGGGGGCGGGGGAGGCAATTGGTAGGGTAGTTGGGTTGGGGGGGGTGAGGAGGGAGGAAGTTGGGGGGAGAGGGGTTGAAGGGAATGGGATGGAGGGGGGGTAAAGGGGGGATAAAGGGGGGGGGGGGGAAGGACAAAGTGAGGGCGCAGGTGTTTTTTCAATTGACCCAGTGAAGATGTTGACTGCAGGGGAATCTGCCGTGGTTGGTTGCGGCTTAGGGTTCAGAACAAGGGGTTAGAAGGAAGGGTGACGTGACTGCCAGGGACATGCTGTGTCAAACATGCGTTTCAATCAACCCTGCTGCCCCTACGTCTGTGTGCTTATACCGAGAGCAGGAGGAGGAGGCCCTTCAGGTGATTACAAAGGTCACATCAGCGCTGGAGGGGTGCAAGCTGGAGTCCCTCAACCTCTCTGACAATGCGTTTGGGGAGAAGGGCGTTCGCGCTGCTGCCATCGCGCTCACCTCCCAGGTGCGTGTTTGCGCTGCTGCCGCCGCCTCACCTCACCTCCCAGGTGCGTGCGCGCTGCCACAGAGCTCCTTCACGCACAACTGATCTACGTGTAGACATTGACGAAGCACATAAAGGGAGAAGGGCGTGCGTGCTGCTGCTGTCGCCCCCACCTCCCAGGTCCGTGCTGCTGGATGGTCTTCCTTCCTCGTCGCGTCTCTGCGTGGCATTTCTGGGGTTTTTACGATAGTTTCACTTTTGAGTCGTCTCAAAGGCAGTCTTCCTCCTCGCGTCTTGGCAAGACATTTCTGGAGTTCTTACCATAGTCTCAAATGACTTGGTACGGGGATTCCTCCAAGAGGTGTCAGGGGGTCTTTAGGGGAGTCTTGTCACACACTTGCCTCCCCCCTCTTCCCCCCCATCCCCCCCCCAACTCATCCCCCCTCCCTGCGCCACCTCCACTTGTGCAACAACGGCATTTCCACGGAAGCAGTAGCTGCAGCACCTATGAAGGGGCTTCTTGCCTCACACATCTCTCCCCCACTCTCCCCCACTCTCCCCCACCCCCTCACGCTCCCCCCCTCCCTGTGGCACCTCTACTCTATGTGTGCAGCAACAGCATCCCCAAGGCAGTAGCGGCTGCCACATTCAAACTGCTTCTTCTCTGGCACTTGTCTTCCCCCCTCCTCTCTCTCTCCCCTTTCCCCCCTCCCTCTCTTTACCCCCCCAGCCCTCCCTCGTCATTTCCAGCAGCAGCAGCCATCAAGGAGCTCCGGCGAACCCTGCACTACATCTCAGGCGCTTCATACTGCCTCTCCCTCCCCCACCTCTCCCTCCCCCACCTCTCCCTCCAACCTCCCCGTTTACGCCCCAGCCCTCCTGCGGCACCTCTACTTGTGCAGCAACGGCATCTCCCTTGCATTCCCCACCTCCCAGCCACCCCCTTCCACTCCCGCCCCTTTCCCCTCCCTCTCATCCCCTTCAGCCCTCCCTCCGTCACCTCTACTTCTGCAACAACGGCATCTCCAAGGAGGCAGCGGCGGCCATCAAGGAACTCCTGCCGGCCCAGGCAGTGGCTTCCCTGGAGACCCTCCACTTCTTCAACAACATGTCGGGTGAGTGAGAGTCAATAGAGGCAACATGTCAGGTGGGTCTAAGGTCGAATCAAGAGTTGCAGTGGCCCAGGCTGTGGCGTCCATGCAGGCCCTGCACTTGGTCAACAACATGCCGGGTGAGACGCGCTTGAGCCATGTGCTCGGTGAGTTCAGAGGTACTGGATTCAGAGCTACTGGATTCAGAGCTACTGGATTCAGAGGTACTGGATTCAGAGGTACTGGATTCAGAGCTACTGGATTCAGAGGTACTGGATTCAAAAGGCGCTGTGGCGTCCCTGGAGGCCTTGCACTTGTTCACTAATATGGCGGGTGAGCCGCTCCAAAGGCACGTGTGATGCAGGAATGCTTGTGATGGTGTGCCTCTGAGCTTCAATTCTCGGTGGGGCTTGAGTCAAGGCAGTGGCGTCCCTGGAGACCCTGCACTCACCCAACAACATGTCGGGTGAGTGAGAGTCGTCGATTTTAGGTCAGGTGGGTCTAAGGTCAAATCAAGAGTTGCTGTAGCCCATGCTGTGGCGCACCTGGAGATCCTGCACTTGGTCAACAACATGCCTGGTGAGTGCGTGCCAGACACTTGCGCCGATACGTACCGGACTCACACGTGTTGGGTGGGTGGGCTGTGAATGAAGGAGCCTCTGCCAGTCCAGGCGATGGCGCCCCCAGAGAGCCTTCATTCTTCCAACAGCATGTGACCACGATGCCGCAGATGTTGCAATGCGATGCCGGTGCCACTATCCTTGCTGATGTTACCAGGACGGCCACCGGGCTCAAGGACTCTTGCGCAGCTCACCTCCCTTTCCCCTTCGTGCGCAGCTCACCTCCCTTTCCCCTTCGTGCGCAGCTCACCTCCCTTTCCCCTTCTTCCCCTGCCCTCCATTCGTCCCCGTTGTGTTCGCGTGCAGGTGATGCTGGCGCCGCTATCCTCGCAGACGTGGTCAGGGACGCTGGTGGGCTCAAGGACTTCCGATTCGCGTCCACTCGAGTGGGGACAGATGGCGGCAGGGCATTGGCCGACGCCATTGCTGCAAGTGAGTAGCTTCTTTCCAGCTAGTTAAGAGGCTATCATTGAGACGATAGTTTCTTCCTCTTATCTATTATTGAGGCGCCTAAAAAGGAGAAAAACGGATGCCATCGCTGTGAGTGAGTTCGCTTCTCTCCTGCTAGTTGAGGGGCAATTATTGAGAGACAAAGGTTTCTCCCCCTTTGTGAGCCGCCTCGAGAGTCCTCCACTCGCTTGGGGATAGATGGCGGGAGGGCATTGGCCAACGCGATTGCTGCAAGTGAGTATCATCCGCATTGTGGCTCTGCCACTTTTCTTGCCCGTTGGGACGACTGTGGTCCACGCGTAATGAGTGGTTTTGCGAGCGCCCTTGGCCTCTGTCCGGGTTTCGGGTTTGAGCCTAGCATCCAGGCCTAGCACCCAGGCCTAGCATCCAGGCCTGAGGAATGGGTCAGCCTGAGGCACACTCTGTTGCTGGCTACAGTACGATGTGAGGGGGCACACTGTGCTGCTCTAACCTCCACCATTCGGCCTCCTCTGACTTTCGCTCCCTTCGCTCCCTCCCCCCCTCCCAGACTCCACGCTAGAGCGCCTGGACCTGAGGGACAACATGTTTGGGGAGGAGGGCGGCGCTGCTCTGGCGTCGGCTCTCAAGCACCACCCCAACCTGAAGCAGCTGATGCTGGGAGACACGGGTGAGTGGCACGGGTGAGTGGGGAGTTACAGCAGTAGAGCGGCTGTGAGGGGGTGTGAGGGGGTGTGAGGGGGTGTGAGGGGGTGTGAGGGGGTGTGAGGGGGTGTGTGATACTGGCTGGTGGGTGCCGCTTGCCTCTGCTCTGGCGTCGGCCCTGAAGCACCACCCCAACCTGAAGCAGCTGATGCTGGGAGACACGGGTGAGTGGCATGGGTGAGTGGCATGGGTGAGTGGCATGGGTGAGTGGCATGGGTGAGTGGCATGGGTGAGTGGCATGGGTGAGTGGCATGGGTGAGTGGCATGGGTGAGTGGCATGGGTGAGTGGCATGGGTGAGTGGCATGGGTGAGTGGCATGGGTGAGTGGCATGGGTGAGTGGCATGGGTGAGTGGCATGGGTGAGGGCATGGGTGAGTGGCATGGGTGAGTGGCATGGGTGAGTGGCATGGGTGAGTGGCATGGGTGAGTGGCATGGGTGAGTGGCATGGGTGAGTGGCATGGGTGAGTGGCATGGGTGAGTGGCATGGGTGAGTGGCATGGGTGAGTGGCATGGGTGAGTGGCATGGGTGAGTGGCATGGGTGAGTGGCATGGGTGAGTGGCATGGGTGAGTGGCATGGGTGAGTGGCATGGGTGAGTGGCATGGGTGAGTGGCATGGGTGAGTGGCATGGGTGAGTGGCATGGGTGAGTGGCATGGGTGAGTGGCATGGGTGAGTGGCATGGGTGAGTGGCATGGGTGAGTGGCATGGGTGAGTGGCATGGGTGAGTGGCATGGTGAGTGGCATGGGTGAGTGGGGGGGGGCATGGGTGAGTGGCATGGGTGAGTGGCATGGGTGAGTGGCATGGGTGAGTGGCATGGGTTGAGTGGCATGGGTGAGTGGCATGGGTGAGTGGCATGGGTGAGTGGCATGGGTGAGTGGCATGGGTGAGTGGCATGGGTGAGTGGCATGGGGGGCATGGGTGAGTGGCATGGGTGAGTGGCATGGGTGAGTGGCATGGGTGAGTGGCATGGGTGAGTGGCATGGGTGAGTGGCATGGGTGAGTGGCATGGGTGAGTGGCATGGGTGAGTGGTGGCATGGGTGAGTGGCATGGGTGAGTGGCATGGGGTGAGGGGCAGGCATGATGGGAGGTTAGAGGGTAACGGGGTTTGTAGCATGCTGGGTGGGACTGTAGGTGGCTCTGGCATCAGCCCTGAAGCACCACCCCAACCTGAAGCAGTTGATGGTGGGAGACCCTGCTGAGTGGAGGGCATGGGGGTAGATAGCCATTGCCTCTGCTCTGGCGTCTGCTCCCCCAGCCCGCTCTCCCCACCCCTCCCTCCCTCCCCCCCCTCCCTCCCTCCCTCTGCCCCCCCTCCCCTCCCTCCCTCCCTCCCTCCCTCCCTCCTTCCCCCTTTTCTCGTTCCCCCCATTTCCCCCCCTTCCCCCTCCTCCCAACTCACCCCCTTCATCCTTGCTCCTTTCTCCATGTCTGTCGCTGCCCATTCTTTCCCCCTCTCCCCCCCCCCCTTTTCCCCATCCCTCTCCCCCTCCCTTCCCCCGTCCCTCCTTCCCCCGCACCCTCCCTGCCATCAACCCTGGGTGATGGTGGGTCATGGAGTGGCAGGGCTCTTGGAAAGCCGCGCCGATCTCCTCTCCTCCTCCCTCCCGCATTGCTCCAATTCCGCTCCGCCCGTTCCCTCCCCCCCTTCCTTATGACATCAGCTCTGGGGGACGATGGAGTGGCAGAGCTCCTGGAAAGTCTTTCCCAACCTCTCATCCCTTCTCTCATCCCTTCTCTCATCCCTTCTCTCATCCCTTCTCTCATCCCTTCTCTCATCCCTTATCTCCTCCCCCTCCCCACCCCCCGACCCCTTCCTCCTGCCCGTCCACCAGCCCTAGGGGACGACGGCGTGGCGGACCTCCTGGAAAGCCTTGCACAGTCGACACCAGCGCTCGAGGTATGGAGCAGATGTGGATATGCTGCAGATGCGGGTATGGTGCAGATGCGGGTATGGTGCAGATGTGGCTATGGTGCAGATGCGGGTATGCTGCAGATGTGGGCGTTAGATTATATATATCTATTTAACATGCTCGACTCGTATATTAGCTAGGTGTACCCCAACCTGTGGTGTACACATCAAAGTGCAAGGGGTGTTGATCCAACCCTGGAGTGGTTGGAGCCCCGAGCACCAAGACCACAATATTGGGACCACGCAAGTGGCTCCTGTGGTGGTTGGGTACTGTTCCTACCCAACTGCATGTGGCACTGTTCATCCTTCTCTAGCTAGCTTCCCTTCCTTCCCCGATTTCATATGTATGCTCCTGATTCTATTACTGATTCTATTACTGATTCTATTACTGATTCTATTACTGATTCTATTACTGATTCTATTGCTGATTCTATTACTGATTCTATTGCTGATTCTATTACTGATTCTATTACTGATTCTTGTTGTTGAGGATCTGTTTTAGGCTTTTATCTGGGATGTAGTCAACTTAGTACATTTCTCTGTTATGTGTAATGTGTTACATTATATTAGGTGTAGACATTAGTGGTTGGGTCATATTAGGAATAGGGTGCCCCCCAAGTGATTTTATCAGAGGCTAGGCACCCCAAAATCCGAATTGGGGTACCTCACCACGCATCCCAACATTTGGGACGCGACTCCAACCTGGACCCACGTTTCTCAACCATGAAAACGCGGTTCCAGCTTGTGGAACCACGAATCCAACTTGTGGAATCGCGGTTCCACTAGTGGGGGCGCTTCCAGGCCCACTTTGAGGGTTCCTCACGTCCCCACCTTGACTATGGGCGACTTGAGCACCCAATTGGGCACCCCAAGCCTCTTGGGTGCCATTCTCCTCACCTGGACCAGCCCAAGTCGCCCAGCACTTCTCCATCTCTCTCTTCTTCACAATCTGGGCCTACTTAACCTAATGTCTTTGTCATCTTTATTTACTTTTTTGTCTTACACTTTCTAGGGCTCCTTTTGGAACCTATCTTTACCATCTCCAACTTGTGCATCTTACAGCTATGCACATCAAGTCTACTTTTCTACAATTCTATTACTGAAATAACTTCAATTCTTTCATGGTTTCAGAGCTCTAAGGCTCACACCACATCCCGTTTTTTTTTTTTTTTCAATCCTAGCCCACCCCTCCTCAGCTGCAGTCACGACCCCCAGCGAGGAATTCCCGCTTCCGCTGCTCCTCTCTCCTTCCTAGCCGGCAATCTCGCCGCGCCCTCCTCCTCGTCCGTTCCCGAAGCCGCTGCTAGTTTCTCCCTAGCCGCCGCGTCCTCCCCTCCTCACCGTCCTCCTAGCGCCCCTTCATCGCTAGTGCGGAAGCCGTAGCTGCCAGCGCTGTCCCTTCCCCGCCAGCTCGCTGCTCCCTGCCTGTCGTGTCAGCTCGCCGCCCCCTGCGAGCCTCCCGCAGCTCGTCGCTCAACGCTCGCTGCCGGCCGCCAGCTCACCATTCGCCGCGCGCCGCTCGTTGTATGCCGCTTGTCGCTTTCCGCCAGCCGCTCGCCGCTCGCTGCCAGCCGTTCGCCGCAAGCTGCTCGCCGCTCGTCGCAAGCCGCTTGCCGCCCGCCGCTCGCCGCAAGCCGCTTGCCGCTTTCTGCTCACCGCCAGCCGCTCGTGCACCGCTTGCCGCTCGCCGCCCGCCACCAGCTTGCCGCTCGCTGCCAGCTGCTCGCCCGCCGCTCGTCGCTTGCGACCAGCCGCCAGCTCGTCGCTCGCCGCTCGCTGCCGCCTGCGCGCCGTCCCACGGCTTCCCGCTCGCCGCTCGCCGCTCACCGCACGCTCCTCGCCGCTTGCCGCTCGCCGCCAGCCGCTCGCACGTCGTTCGCCGCTCGCGACCAGCCACCAGCTCGTCGCTCGCCGTTCGCGGCCAGCCGCCCGCTCGCCGCTCGCGCACCGCGCGCAGCTCGCCGCCAGCCACCAGCTCGCCGCACGCCGCCGGCTGCCAGCCATCAGCTCGCCGCCGCTATTTTCGTGAGCCACGCGGGTCCACCCGCTGTCGCCCCTTGCCATGCCGCTGCGAGTTCCCTCGTCGCTAATGTCTTCTTGAGCCGCGCAGGTCCACCAGTCGTCGCTCCCTCCTCGTGGCACCGCGAGCACGCTCGCCGCCGCCGATCCGTGAGCCGCGCCGGTCCACCCGCTGTCGCCCCTCACCGTGCGAACTCCCTCGCTGCAGCAGTCTTCTCGAGCCGCGCAGGTCTGCCCACTGTCGCTTCACACCGTGCCGCCACGAGCCTTCCCACCGCCGTCGCCTCCCCGAGCCGCGCGGTTCCACCCGCAGTCGCTCCTCTCTGTGCCGCCGCGCGCGTCCTGCTCGTCGTTGCGCTGTCGCTCACCTTCCCTCCGCCCATCGACGCCTCATCCGTCGACAAGCTCCTGCTAGCCGCCGACAAGTCCGCCACCAACTGGTACTCCTTCATTGGGAGTATTCGGCGGGTCCTCGACGGTGCTTGGGTCCAGCAGTACAAGTTGCCCAACATCCTCGAGCGTAAGGCTTCGGCCGTTCGCCCCACTACGCCCGTCGATCTCGGTCCCGAGCCTGATGTCCCTCGCGACCCTGGTGATCCGCCAGAGCGGCCCAAGGTCCCTCTCGCGCAGCCGGACAACCCTGAGGTCGAGCGTGTTGCCAAGAGGATAATGACGACGCCCGCCAAAAGTTCCTGCAGCGGCGCGCCGACTACAAGTCCGAGAGGCATGCATTCGACCTCGCCTCCAAACGTGTCGCGGACCATCGCCTGCAAGCCATCCGCTATGCATTGCAGAAGGTGCCCTGTGCTGCCGGCATTGCTGCATGGTGTGAGGCTGACCTGCGCGTCTCTACCATCGTCCTCGGCGCTCTCCCTGTCGACATGATGCGGCAAGTGAGGCGTGTCGTACTGAGGGGTGAGGCCGCATCACGGCCTATTGGGACACCTTCTCCCCCACAGTCAAACTCCCCACCATCCGAGCCCTCCTCGATTTTGCAGCTCACATGTCCATGGTCATCTGCTACATGGACATCTCCAATGTGTTCCTGCAAGGTGAACTGCGCGAGAAAGTCCTCATGCAACGACCCCTTGGATTTCATGCTCCCTTCGTGCTTAACACCGTCAAGGAGCTTCAGCGCCCTGTGTATGGCTTGAAGCAGGCACATCAGGAGTGGCATGACTAATTGGCTGCCACCCTTCAGGCCATGGGCTTTCGTGCCGCCCACTCCGATGCTAGTCTCTTCATCCGTGCCGCCCCCAGCCGCTTTTTCATCCTCGTCTATGTGGATGACATGATCCTCATAGCCGATGAAGAAGCTGACGTGGTGAAGGTTAAGTTTGAGCTTTAGACCCGCTTTCAGTGCGAGGACCTGGGCGCTCTGAAGAACATCCTTGGCATGACCATCACACGCGACCTGGAGGCCCGCACCATCACGTTGTCCCAATCGTTCTACATCGACCAGGTCTTGGAGCGGTTCACCATGGCGCAGGCCAAGCCAGTGTCCACCCCCTTGCCCGTTGGTCACCACCTTGCGCCCTCCACCTCTCCCTCCGCCTCTGATCACCCCTATGCCGAGCTTGTCGGGTCCCGCATGTAAGCCATGATGTGTACGCACCCCGACCTCGCATACCCCATCAGTGTCCTCGCCCGGCTCCTCGGTACCAACCGCCACACTCCCGCCCACTGGGCCGCTGCGAAGAGAGTCCTCCGCTACCTCCGGGGCACCAAGGACTACATCTTGACCCTTGGCAGCACCTCTCCTCCTCTCCTGGCTTCAGCACCTCTCCTGGCTTCAGTGACTTCCCCTGGGCCGATTCTCAACCCGACCACCGCTCCTCCCAGGGCGATGGTTTCACCCTGGGCAGCAACCTCATTAGCTGGCGTTCCACCCGCTCGTCCGCCATCGCCCTCTCCTCGTGCAAGGCCAAGCTCTATGCCGGCACTATGGCCTCTCAAGAATCGCGCTGGCTGTGCTATCTCCTCGCCGAGCTCGGTGCTCCCCAGCGCTATCCCACCCTTTGGTGCGAGAATGCGAGCATGATCCACCTTACCAAGGACCCGGTCTTCCATGGGTGGTCCAAGCACATCGAGCTTCGTTATTTCTACATTCGCGAGATCGTCCAGCATGGTCACCTTGCCGTGCGCAAGATTGGCGCTGAAGCAAACTTGGCGGACATTTTCACCAAGGCCTTGCCCAAAGCCGCTAACAAGGCCCTCCTTCTTCACCTTGGCCTTGGCCCTCCTAGCCTGTGAGAGTACGACCCCGTTTCATTTCTTTCTCCTTTCCATCTTCCCTTTCCATTTCATTCCTCTTTTTATCCTGATTCATTTGGTCTTTATCTCATGTCATTTGGATTCCTAGTCCTTCTTTTCCATAAACCTTTGGTTTATCCTGTTATTATCATTATATCACCGACCAGGCTCGAGATGTACTGGTACGCTATATCTAGCGCAATCCTGCCGTAATCCCTTAAAACCAATAGCCTCGCGTGGCTATACGCAGGGTGATTCTATTTTCTAGAAGGGTCTATTCCCTTGGGATAAGATAAACATCGTTCCCTGATGTACTTTGGAAGTATAAAAGCGCCTTGTATCAATCGATAGTGCAACATTTCCTCGACACATTCGATCCTGTGACATAGCCCCTCCCGCGCTCCATGATTCATGGGTTGTTCGTCTTCTCCACCAACCTGTGGTGTACACATCAAAGTGCAAGGGGTGTTAATCCAACACTGGAGTGGTTGGAGCCCCGGACCACAATATTGGGACCACGCAAGTGGCTCCCACGGTGGTTGGGTACTGTTCCTACCCAACTGCATGCGGCACTGTTCATCCTTCTCTTGCTAGCTTCCCTTCCTTCCCAATTTTCCTATGTATGTTCCTGATTCTATTTCTGAAATAGCTTCTTCAATTCTTTTAGTGGGTATGGTGCAGATTGGGGTATGGTGCAGATGCGGGTATGCTGCAGATGCGGGCATGCTGCAGATGCGGGTATGCTGCAGATGTGGTTATGCTGCAGATGTGGTTATGCTGCAGATGTGGTTATGCTGCAGATGTGGTTATGCTGCAGATGTGGATTATGCTGCAGATGTGGATTATGCTGCAGATGTGGGTGTGGTAGAGCTGGAATGGTTCAGAGCTGTAACATATGTTCTGTATTCGCTCCCTCTAACCCCCCCCCTCCTTTTCTCCTCCCGTCATCGTCTCCTGTCATTTACCAGGCGCCTCAAATATCCGCGTGAACTGAGACGCCTCAAACATCATCCCGCCATCGTCTCCCGCCATCGTCTCGCGTCATCGTCTCCCTTACCCCAGGTGCTGGTGCTCGGAGGCAACGATTTAAGCAAGGAGGGCGCGGGGCGAATCGCAGAGTGCCTGAAGCCACTCAGAGCGCTGAGGAATGTTCCATCACTTCAAAACCCCCCAACCCCCCACTTCCCTTGCACCAGGTGCTGGGGCTGGGATGCAACAACCAACGACCTGTCCAAGGAGGGCGCAGATTGCTGAGTGTCAGAAGCCGTTTTGATCGTCCGCGAAGTTCCCCTTTTTCTCGGAATGTTCCTTCCTCTCGCCCCCCCCACCCTGCCTTGCACCAGGTGCTGGAGCTGGGCGGCAACGACTTGTCTGAGGAGGGCGCAGGGCGGATTGCAGAGTGCCTGAAGCCGTTCAGAGCGCTGAAAAAGCTGGTGCTGTGCGACAACGAGCTGGGGGATGAAGGGGTGGCGACCATTGCTGCCATTATCCCCGACAATCTAATGTGAGTGCCACTGCTGGTTCATGGGAGCTGGTGCTGTGTGATAACGAGCTGGGGGACGAGGGGGTGGCGACGGTTGCTGCCATTATCCCCGACCGCTTGCAATGAGTGCCGCTGTCATTCCCTGAGGGCAAGGTTGGAGCTGTCATTCCCTGTCATTCCCTTGAGGAAGCTGGTGCTGTGCGACAACGAGCTGGGGGACAAGGGGGTGGCGACCATTGCTGCCATTATCCCTGACTGCCTATTGTGAGTGCTGCTGCAGGTGTTGTCATTGCTGTCATTGCTGTCATTGCTGTCATTGCTGTCATTGCTGTCATTGCTGTCATTGTCGTCGTTGTGAGTGAGTGCCGCCGCAGGTGTTGTTGTTGTCATTGTTGTCGCTGTTGTCATTGTCCCGGGCTCAAGAGTCGTGCTGGGGCAGCTGGTGCTGATCGACAACGAGCTGGGGGACAGGAGTGTGTGTGGTGTGGAGTCTTCTATTTGTGTGTGTGTGCCTCCATGCTGGTGCCTTGGACCCAAGCAAGGAAGCTGGTCCCGTGTAAGGCTCAAAGAGCCGACCATTCTTTTCCCCCGGTGTCCCTGCCTGCTTCATCTTCTGTTCTCTTAAGCCCCCCCCCCCCTGTTTTTTCCTCTTGCTGCAGCCAATCTTTTTTTCCTTTTCTTTTTCTTTTTGTCCATGGCCCCAGATCCCTTGAAGAGGTGGACCTCTCCACCAATGATTTCGGCCGAAAGGGTGCTGAAGCAGCGGCTCGGGCAGTCAAAGATTTGGAGGGCTTCAAGCTTCTCACCATCAACGGCAACCACATCTCAGCAGATGGCATCCGGGCAGTTAAAGAAATTTTGGGAATTCCCGTCGAGGATGGGGAGGAGGGTGATGGTGGGAAGGGCGTTTTAGGGCTGTTGGATGAGAATGATGACGAGGGGGAGGATGAAAATTAGATAGGGATTGGTGTTTCATTAAACAACACTACCTATGTCAGGCATTCTCTTCAATTACAGTGCTTGTACTGAGCTTCAATTAAGCTTTATTGAAAAATGAGTTGATGGTGGTGGTACTACCAAGCTACAGCACCAGCAGCAGCAGCAGGGCAAAGGCCAGAATCCACGAAAAAACACTGGTGCTAAGCATTCGTGCTGCTGCCTTATTGTCAGCCCCTGCCGAAGTAGATGGCCCCACAGAAGAAGACAAACCCCCAGAAGTTGACCCCTCAGACGTAGATGACCCTGCAGAAGTAGACGGCGCTGCAGACGGCGGTAACGCCAAGCCAGTCGACGAATCATCTGCCCCACTAGGTCCGGGTGAGAGAGAGATGTACTGCTTGCACTCCACTGGCGACACTCGCCTGCCCACAAACGCACCGTACGTTGCGTTGTCCTTGAACGGGCACCCCGGGATGTCGTTCAAAGGGTCGCAGCAGGCAGGTACTGGCGGGTACTTGTTGGCCCCGTTGTAACAACTGGACAGTCCCTGTGGGGGGCAGGGAGGAAGAAGCAGAGACGAAAGGACGCTCATTCAGCGTGGTCCCAGTGACACATTCAGCGTGGTCCCAGTGACACATCCAGTGTGGTCCCAGTGACACATCCAGTGTGGTCCCAGTGACACATCCAGTGTGGTCCCAGTGACACATCCAGTGTGGTCCCAGTGACACATTCAGTGTGGTCCCAGGGACTGTCACACTGCCTTGCACCCTCGGGCGTCTCTCAATAAGCCGCATCGGGCTCGCGTTAGCAGTACTGCCGCACCCCGTTGTAACACCCAGATGGTCCCAGTGGGGTGGCGGGAAGAAACAGTGACAGAATGCTCCGAAAAATGCTGTTGCAGTCACCCTAAACCCCGATAGGGCTGTCTCGGAGCCCCAGAAGGGAGAAGCAACACAACAGCCCCCCTCTCCACATACAAAACCCTGAAATATTTGATCACACTGAAACAATCATGCTTACTGGTACCACGTTGACGGTGATGTTGCGGCCTCCAATCGCCCTGAAGAGTGACCCGAACATCACTTTGAAGAACGTGACCTTGTTAGTGAGTAAGCTGCCAAATGTTGTTCCTGTGGCCACTGTTGGCGATGTGGGTGGAATGGACGGGGAGGGGGTAGGAGAGGGGTCATGGAGTAACACTAGCTTATAGAGGTTGTAAGAGCGTGAGGACTGCATGTACTAATAAGGGAGGACCTTATAGAGGAGAGGAAAAAACAGGGCCTGAAAAGTATGAGAGCAATGTGAAGAGGTGTAGGATGTGGTGAAGAAGGAGACGGAATAAGACGGAATGAAGGAGTTTTATTCGTTTCTGTAACTTACTTGGAAGGTCCTTGCATTCAGAGTACACATAAGATGCGTAGTCATCACACACCGAGAAGTTTCCAGCCCATTCCGTATCAGCAACAACATAGTTTCCGCTATCTGATTGGGAAGGGACAAAATGAATCATAAGGGCGTTTTTTCGTTTTTGTTTAACACATGTGTATCAATTGCTAGCATGTTACAGATTTAGCTGCTTTAGACGCCTACTCAGTTTAGTACAGGATGTCACCAGAGTATTCGCACATCATCGTGTGGTTCAATTTTTTTCGCACCACGGTTCCAAACGTAGTGACGAAGTTGCACAATTTAATTGAAGCTCAATTCAATCGGCGCACCTGGGTTGCACATAACGGCGCAGTTCATAGCCTCCAATTCCTGGCTGCACTGATCGAAGCCCACAAACCGTGCGCATTGCTGTGAAAAAGAGAAGGAAAAAGTAGGGTAAATGATTCCTTTCGTTCCGACACTTTTTGGAAATCGGATCTCACCTCATCCACCCGAGTCGGGTTCATTTCTGGAACCCTGTCACGCGAGTAAACGAGCCTCGATCGACCACAAGCTCTCGCGCCGCGAACTTTTCTTGGCGCAATCTTTGAGAGAAGCGGAACTCAACTCACCCGAACGGCGTTTCCCGACGCGGTTTTCAGAACGGACGGGAGGAGAAATTCGAGCACCGTCGACTCGTTCGCGCTGACGGCTTTGAGCGCCGCAAGCATGTCGATGCAGTCGTCGCAGCACGACCATTCCGTCGCGCCCAAGCACCGCGAAAACGTCACGTTCGTCCTCGCCGGCGGCCGCTGGCTGAACGGACAGAGCGGGTAGTCGGCCGGCTGCAGCACGGGCGGGGATGTTACCGACGTGTCAAGCTTAGCGCTAGGGCTGGAAATGTCGGACGCGGCGTTCGACGCGGCGTCAGAGCCGGAATCGGTAGGATGCGCGACGCGCAGCGGCTGTGTTGCACGGGCGGAGAGGAGCACGAGGAGGACGATCAAGTACAGCTGATGGCGAGACATTGTGAGGAATCTAAACTAGCCGTAGCCTGACGTTTGTGCTTGCCGAGACGCGAGAGAGACAGGAGTTCGCACAGTCGTCTCGTTGTGTGTGCTGGTGCTAGAAACTCGTGGACTACTGAAACTCGACAGTCGACGTTGAGCATAGTAACTGCTTTGGCCTCAGCTCCAGCAACAAAGAAATGCAACTCTGCAATCTTGGGCGCGCTGCGTGCGAGTGAGAGGATGAGTGGGAAACGAGGCTGTACATTTCAGATCAAAGGAATTGGTATGACTGAGTAACCCGAAATGGATAATGTTAGCCAGTCGAGCGCAGCCGTCTTCTGTTAGGATTGCCCCCAATCTTGGCCACATAACCAAACCTGCACCTAGGCGACAGTTCTCGCTAACTCGACGAGACATTCTGACACCGATAAATGCTTTTCGCTACGGCAACCTTCCAAAATCAGCAGTTTCGCCACTTCCGCTAACCTCACCCACTCGCTGTAGTCATCCCCTGTCCCCGACCTTCCCACACCACCCATTCCACTGCTCAGGCAGCCCTGATTTCCCTCGCCACTTCCCCCAACACCTTTCCTTCCCCTCCCACCCCATGCCACCATTCCATCCCATCCCATCCCATCCCATCCCATCCCGTCCCATTACATCCCAACCTATCTTATCTTACAGCCCATTACAGCCCACCCAACCGATAGGTTGGGATGTAATGTAACAGCCCACCCAATCCCATTACAGCCCACCCAACCGATTCCATCCCATTCCCAAACCACAACCCACAACTCCCCACCTCCCCCGATCCAGCCATCGCCTCTTCCCCTTCCCTCCCTTCCCCTTTCCTCCTCTATCCTCCTCTCTGCTCCACCCTATTCGCCTCAGCCGACTTCTCCGCTCTATTCCACGCAATGCAGGAACCAGCACCACACTCATTCCCCCTCGTGTCCCCCTCATTGCGCCTGTTTTACTGCACTCACTCAATATGTCGAGTTGTACTGTAGTAATTAAGACGGCCACGCAAATTGTAGGTTGGACACATACGGACGACGCACTTTGACACATCCACCACCAATATCCATTTACTGTACGTCGTTTAGCTGGCTGCCTAGGGCGACGCGTGAGGCTCGTCCGGTGGTTCGGAGTGGCTGGTTACTGTACCCACAGGCTCGTTTTCCCGACCAAACAGAGTCCCAACCGCCCCCCCCAACCAGCAACATACAGGTTCGAATCGAATGTATGGATGACATGTACGTGGCATGTTAGACCCCGTCATCCCAAACCACCACCCAGCCGTGCTATGAACAGCCCAGATTACCCGGGTGCCGCGCTCCCGTGCGGTGCGCTGCAGTTGTCAAGCACTTCTCTTTCTGGCTGTACTGTAGCCAGATGCTCAAAATGTGGTCCATTTGGCGTGTAGTAAAGCGACGCACCCCACCGACCAGTGCAGCGGTGCGGTGCGATGGCGTGCCGTGCCGTGCCGTGCCGTGCTTTTATCAAGCAAAACTGTTTTGTTCTACAGTCCACGTGAAGCCAGACGCTGATTTTGGCGTGTACTGTAACACAGCAACAACGGCAGCACAAACAGAAGCAGCAAAAGGGTTTTTAGTTTCTAGGTTAATGTTAGGGTTTTTTGTTGTTAAGTTACTGTTACTAGGACTCTGTGCACTGTAGTCACGGTTAACGCACCGCGAGGAGAGTTTTGTCCCGTTCTGAGCTCTAAAGGGCAGTTTAGCGTTCATTCTAGTTTTTGCGTTTCGGATTGGAGCACTTGGCACAATTTCATTGGGTGTTACGTGTACATATCGGGCTGCAAATTCGCCCACTCGCGTCCTTGTTTTTTCTACCCGGCTCGGATGGCCAAATGGGAGTTCCAGATTTCCATTGATTTCATAATCACTGTTGCCAATTTTCCATGCCGCATACAACACAGCATCTGCGCATTACTGCACGAACATGGTAACGGGGTTGCCGGCAAACGTCAAACACTGACTGCAATTTGTTCCCCGGCCGTCAGATTCAAATGGATTGATGTTTAGCCATCACTTACAGTCCGTTTACTCATCACTCCGTTTGAATCTGACGGTTGGGGAAGAAATTCCCGTCAGTATTTGACGGTTGTCGGCAACCCTGTTTTCAGGTTCGTGCAGTGATGCGCAGATGCTGTACTGTATGCGGCATGGAAAATCAGCAACTGTGATTATGAAATCAATGGAAATCTGGACCTCCCACTTGGCCATCCGAGTTGGGTAGAAAAAAACAAGGACGTGCGTGGGCGAATTTGCAGCCCGATTTGTACATATAACACCCAATGAAATTGTGCCAAATGATCCAATCGAAATGCAAAAACTAGAATGAATGCTGAACTGCCCTTTAGAGCTCAGAACCGGACAAAACCCTCCTCCGGGTGCGCTAATCGTAACTACAGTGTACAGAGTCCTAGTAAGAGTAACCTAACAACTAAAAACCCATAATGTTACTAGCGATCCGCACACAGTAGTCACGTTTGGCGCTTGGAGAGGAAGGTTTTGTCACCTTTTGAGCAGATTGGGAAGATTTAGCGTTTACTCAAGTTAATATTTTTTCTCATTGGGTCACGTTTCACAATTTCATTTGTTATATACTGTCATTTCGCTGCTCTCAGCAACTGTTCCCTGAAAACCTCCGTCAACAACAGAGCACGTCTCTGAACGAACCCGGAAACAGAACGAGCCTCGGGTGCCGTCACTTT